TATATATATATACATACATTCACATATACACATATACACATGTACACTTACGTCAGATAACATAACTATCGTAGAGATGCATTGTTCCGAAATCATTCGCCAGAAATCCGTTATAGTGATCTCCAGGGGATCTTGCGTAATGACAAACGATTCGGAGTTATCGTAGCCTTCGATGAACGACGCGTTTATATATGTTGAATGTTCCTTTCCTGGAACTGGCGTGAGTATCACGCGATTTCTATCATATGGTATCACCAATTCGCTTCTATTCTTTAATTTATTCTCGTCTCCACCTCCGACAGAGAAGGATTTCCGATCTTCTAATATGGAACTAATTTTCTACAAACAAAAATAGAAACTTTAGCCTCTCAACAAGATTTTTGGAGAAATTTAAAAATATAACGTGTTCACAGAGTATCATGTATATTTCTAATATATTTTACCTACTTTATTGGATATTGATTGTTCAAAATGTATAACTTTTTCGCAAGTAATTTTTTCTCATCCATTACATAAATAGAACATATCGATTAAAAAAAAATTCAAAGGAGATTTACAAAATAAAAATAAGATAAACTGATGCAGCAAAGATATCATTTTGATATAAAGGATATTTATAGAATAATGGCATGTATGATATTTTAATTTGCAGATCTTAAATGAAAATAAAATTAAGTGACAAAAAAGTATTTGTAGCTTACATTTCAATTCTGTAACTTACATCATATTCTTCCTCCATCCTACACTTCTCTTTTCCGTTGTCCCGCTGTCTCAATTTGACGATTGTGGTTTTGAGTTGTGGTGCCGAAATCTCTGTGTCGCCGTACTGTGCCATCTCCATAAGCGCGCGATAGATGAAAATGTATTGCTTAAGCGATTGCACAAGAAAGTTGCGCTGATGCCGTAAATCACACACAGTGTTGAAGATAGATACCTGGCCCTCCTCGGCCAACTGTTGCAGCAGAGAATCCAATGCCACGAGCGTGCCGGTGCGGCCCACACCAGCGCTGCAGTGCACCAAGATTGGCCCCTTTTCGAGCGAATACGCTTCATTGACGCGCTTAATAAAGCGTAAAATCGCATGTGGATGCTCGGGAGCAACGAAGTCTTTCCACACGAGGAAGTGATACTGCACGATCGCGCGGGCGTCGCGCTCGCCTAGTCGCGTCATCTTCAATTCGCGCACTACATAGTCCGAGTAGGCACGCTCTTTAACGTGTTCCACTGTGATGTCACCAAAGTTTTTGGTTTCGCGTTTGTCCGGCCAATACTTGGCGCACTTGGTCTTCGAATATTCTTCGAGATTGGTCAGCATAAGAATTAGCTCGAGATGCTGCTCCCAGATCATGCGCCAGTAGTCGCACACAGTGTTCTCCATCGGGCCCTGGGCGCAGATAAACTTCTTGCGTTCCTTATAGCCCAATACAAAGTTGGCATTGATGTAATCAGAGCCGCAGATACCGTCCATCTGCGCCAAACGTACTCTCGTCTGATCGTAACACTTAATGTCCGGATAACGATTCTTATATAGATTCTCCTGTGCTTCGGATGCACGTGTCGTTCTATCCGTGAATCGATCAGGTAGCAGTTCAAATTCGTGCTGGAAACCATAATCCGAGTCCCTATGGCGTTCCAAGTACGCTTGCAATAATTCGTTCTTAGGTATGGGGGGCATATCTGGTGGACTCGCTGCCACGAGCTGATGCCTGCCTCTCAAACTCCTACAGAGATGTCTATGCAAAAATCCATCCATTAAATACTTAAAGTACTTATATCGCTTCTTCAAAAACTTCAAAAATTAGGCATAATATTATATTAATATCAATAATAAGAATTATATAATATATAATAATAAAAAGGTATTATGTACTTTTTATTCTACTATGTTTCTATATAACTTTCTTTTATTTAACAAAAAAAAACAAGTCTTTTAAAAATATGACTATTAAATAAAAAAAAAAGCGTCCATCATTTTTAAAAATAATAAGCGTCTATTATTTTTAAAAATATAAAGTCTGTTACTTATTAAAATATAATTCATGTAATAAAATATTTATAAAATTTATGTATAAAAATCTTATATTTAAGAGAGAATACCATGTTCATCTTGAACTCACCTGAAACTATTGCGCAGCGTTATAACCTCTTCCCTCTCTTGCGCACGTTTCGTAAATCTATATAATACACAGAGTACGATAAACAGAATTGTGAGAGTTAAAATTAGGGCGATGAAGAGTTGTAATATCATTTCTCTGATAGTAGTCGCTTCCGCAGCCGTTACACTGAGAGGATCCACTCCGCCGTAAAGAGGATTGAAATAACTGCTGTAAGCCGGTAAAAACTGATCCTTTTCATTATCGAACACTGCAAACAATCAACCATTACAATGCGCTATCAAATTTAAATTTCACAAATGAATCTATCGATAATTGTACATACCAATAACTTCGATAAAACCAGTATAATTCGAAGTTTCATCAAGAAAACCATCGTAAGGTGATAAAACACTAAATTCTCCAGATTCATCTATAGATGCCTTTTGCAGCGGCGCGTCTTCTCTCTTTCGTCTCTCCACTTTTTCCGTGGCATTCATAATCACAGGTACGGCCATGGTTGTGTCAATTTTCGTACTGGTAGTGGTCATCGATAATGTGGTAGATGGATTAGTAGTTGTGCTGCTACCACTGCTACTTGCAGTTGTCGTCAGCATGGATGTAATTGCCGTAGTGCTAGTAACGATACTGCTCATATTACTTGAAGTTACAGTGGTAGTTGATGAGATTTCCGGAACAAAGTGTAATAATGGCGGTACTGGTTTGGGTCGTAAACCGATGCACTTATCGCACATAGCACCACCGTTAGACGACTCGCCGTCACCGAGAAAGATCTCTGTCAATAATTGATCGCTGTCGAATATCTCGGCAATATATGCACCACCGGTAGGTGAATTATGCACATACTGATAAGAATATACCACGATCTCTTCAGGTGATGGTAAATCACCAACTGTTTTATGCGGCGGTAATTTCACTAGGTAGACGCGGTAGCAGCAGATTGGACCGTTCCGTTCCGAGATACGCGGTAGATAGAGTTTGAACAACTGCCTACCCTGGTTTTCAATCTTCCGCCAGCTGCGCATGTTCATATTATCGCGACCTGGAACCGTAACTGGCGTCGTACAGTTTCCTATAGCATCCTTGCCAGGAGTGCGAGATCTTGTTACTCCGTGCACCCGAACCTTCGATCAAATGTTCATTTTTAGTACAAAAATTCATTTGATATTAATAGATTTGCATAATAATCTCAAGTTAAAATCAATCAATCAATCAATAATAGCACAATAGTCCAAATCGATGTTTAAATACCTTCTTTGAGGATTTAATAATATTTGAAAATTTTTTCCTGAATTATAATGAACAATGAAATATTACACTGAATTTCTTGTTGAAAGCAACATCACTTTTAGTATTATTTCATTAAAATTTCATTAAGGTTTCATTACTGTTCATTATAATTTCATTACAATTCAATATTATATAATCAGTTAATATTTTATAAATAATTTAATACAAAATGTTATATTTAACTTCGTAATGTTCGTACAAAAATACAATGCTTGTACTAGAATACATGCAAAAACTATATGCAAATTTAACACATCAGATAATCTAAATTTATATAGACCTGGTTATATAGAGAATACGACTAAATTTTACATGCGAGAATACACTATCTTGCAGCACTCCTAAAAAGATTAATTCAAAGCTTTTCGTTACAGTGACAGTTAACTGATTTCATTATTTTTCAGCAAATTTTATTACAATCGTTCAATTATTAATGCTCCTGAGTACTTAGCTAAGAACTCTGCGTTGAGACGGCGGCCTATCGAAACGGTAGCCACACACACAAACACAAGCCCATGTACACGTGCTCTCGGCGCGTTTTCCTTATTCAGCGGAATTTTATTCAAAAAATCAAAGTTACAAATTCTTAATAACCATTTAATATAAGTTAAGGATATAACCCCTTGTTCAGAAAATGTAATATAATAAATAAAAAAAACTGTTAATTTAACCCTATAGACAGTTGGAAGATAAACATTATAATAAAAAGACCTTGCATAAAATCATAGGATTTTGGCCTTCGGTGGAATTGGCTGAAATTTTAGTTTGGATATTATAGTTCTTGACTCACTGATCAAAAGTGTCCATTTACAAAGTTTGAAAATGACTAATTTTTTTGTTATAGCCATTTTAAGTTTTATTTTATTAATGCCTCAAAAACAAGTTTCTGTAATAAATCGAGAGATTTTAGATAACAATATGTCATCCTTACCATCTTCACTCCCAACCCCACCCCCACCCATATTCCCATACACATACGTCCGCGTGCACATTTTTATTTTGTATTTAAATTTTGCTAAATTTTTACAATTTCTCTCATGCATATCATTTGAAATGCGTGAGTCCATTTACCTTTTATGTTCAAAGTGCTTGATTATCACGACCCGAATGTTTCTTTCCGCGTGTGAAGCTCCATGTACAAAAAAATATCGGGTGCTCTCTGAAGTGCGATAGCAACATAGGATAGAAAATTCTTTTCCTCTTCGCTTTGTTTACATTCATATGCCGCAAGGAAACTCACGAAAATCAAGCAACCCAAAGGAATGAAACGCCCGTCACGTCCACGTCGTTCACTCCGGATAATTCTGAGAACGGGCGAAAAACTAAAATCATAAATGTACTATTGATGCATACACAAATACACACATGTACACACATACGAAATTTCGGTTTTTATGCACCTTTTTCACATAAAAATGCGCGCGCGGACGTATGTAGGAATAAGGGTGGGAGTGAAGTGGAGGTGAGGTTGGAAAAGCTGGTTGACATATTGTTATTTAAAATCTCTTGATTTATTATAGAAATCTGATTTTGAGGCATTAGTAAAATAAAACTTTAAATGGCTACAACAAAAAAACTATTTTATTTTCAGGCTTTATGCCTATGGATATACTTTTGATCAGTAAATCAAGAACTATAATATACTAAAATTTCAGTCAATTTCACCGAGAGCCAAAATCCTATGATTTTGTGCAGGGTTCTTTATCATTTTTACAGCCTATTCATAGTTAACTTTGAGTAATCAGTAAATTTTCCCAATATATTTATCCGCAATTGTTTTTGTAATACCATTTAATATTTTATTATACGAATATAATTCACTATTAAGTGCTTAAATAATGTTTATTTTTTTAATCTTTATGGTAATTTTAAGAATGACTTTGAAATCCGAATAATTTATACTAAATATTGCTAAATACTATTTTTAAGTAGACTTTTAGTTAATTATACAGGGCTCGGACTAGAATCACAAAATAACGGTTAATAATCCATTTATTCAATTTTGAAGAAAAACGCTGCGCTTAAGTGTGCCATTAAAAGATTTTTGAAATAATTATTAACTCTGTATGGTATAGATTTTTCTATCAGCTCAATTTCAATAAAACTTGATACTCAAAGGATTTTTATAGTCGCTGAGGTTTTCTACATTATGAACATAATCGAAAGGGATATTGTAACGATGTTGTTTCTATTTTCATATTTATTTAAATTATTCATTCATTGTGTAGGCATATTTTCGTTATTAACATGTATATCAAGTATTGTTCTAGAAGAATGTTTGAGAAGTTTCTTGCGCGAGCCTGTCGCAACAGGACAATTTGATAGTGATAGTAATCGACATGCGGATTCCCTCAGTCGCGAGAATTGGCTATCGGGAAATTGCCAGATCGTACCTAATTGGGCAAACGGCATTCACCCTCACGCGACCGCGTTAGTGTCACACGGGTACCGCAGTCGCTATCTTGATTAGCTGCTCTGAGACAGTCCCTTTGATAGGACTTATTTGTATTACATAAAAAAGCAAAAAAAATAAATAAAAAGAGATACAAATAAAAAGGGCCTTCATCTGGCGCATTCTGGGCATACCTTTGGCTATAGCAAATCCTAGTTTAATAAATTTTCCATTACAAATTATTGTTAAGTATTATAGTTTTATTTCATTTTCACGACATTTAAATTAGCATGATTTCGGAGATATTCAGACCCCATTCAATAATATTCGTTATCTTCAATAATAAAAAAAATTAGCATAGTTTCTTATTGATATGTTTAAAACAAAATAATCAACACCTTCCACCTGTGTTATAAAAATAAAAAAAATCGATTTTTTATGAAAAAAGATATCTAAAAAAGATGTTATTCCGTTTCTTATTCAATGGCAGTATTAAAAAGTCTACAAAAAAGAGGAAATTTTTCAATTTTAGCTTTTGGGCAACTTGTTATGAAAAGCCACCTTTTATGAAAAAATAATTTTTACAAAGATAAAATTGTTAAATAAAAAAATTAATAGATTTGTTTATTTAAAAACGAACTTATTGGCATCAGATTCACAATCAACAAAAATAGTCCTAAAAAATAACATGTAAATCCGCAAACTTTGGTTTTTAATGCGTCATGTTAGATCTGCCATTTTGAAAATCAACATTTCGATTGCAGATTCGTAATCAATGATTCAAAAAACTATCATACACATAGTCTCAAACAAATTGATTAGAGCGTTTAATCGTCAAGAATTCCACTAGAATTGTAAAATCTTACACTGTACGGCGCACCGAAGGCGAGTACATATACATGAGCTCATGTTGTATATAAATGGCTGAATTTACAGGCGATGAAAAATGACGTTTTGATGACGAAATTTATATTGCATATCATTTCGTTATTATTTGCTTAATTGTGAAAATATGACTTGTCTCATACTCACACAAGTCCTAAAAATGAACGGAAATTACAGTTATCTTGGAATTTTATACATAAAAGTGTATATTTCACTCGTTTCAACAATTGTCAGACCGTGTGTTTCCTGCCCAGAGAGGCTCACTTGGCTTTTACGACCATTTATTCACTGTCAAGGGAGGAAAGAATAGTTTTCGTAGATTTTTACATATGTTTTAAAACGCTCTCATCATTTAGATTTATCCAAATTGTCTTTATTTACAAATGGCATGCAATATAAATTAACGTGTCATTCCTCGCTTCTGAAGTCACGATTCCAATATGGCCATGGCGACTACTCAGAGGAGCCTTAATTTCATCATTTTAATTATCCTATTTCCATTTTCGGTAACTTTCATTAACAAATCTGTAAAAATATTGTATATTTCGTTCCCATTTCATTACTTTTCAGATATTTTCATTAATTTTCCTCAGCATATTTCGATGTACAATAAACTGTGAAAATATTATGTCTTGCACCATTCTTTTTTTCATACATTTTCATAAATATCTTTACAGTTCGTGATAAAATTTAGTACTCAATTTCTTTGAATATAAATCTGTATAAATTTTCTTCACAATTTCTTTTAATTTAACGCTCTTTGTTATGATGTTAACTGATTTCATTATTTTTCAACAGATTTCATTACATTCTTTCAATTATTAATTCCAACATTTTAATTATTCTCTGTTTTTGATAACTTTTATTAATAAATCTGTAAAAAAATTATATTGTATATTTCGTTCTCATTTCGCGTTAAATTTTGCAGATATTTTTATTAATTTTCCTTAGAATTTATATTTCAGCATATTTCAGTGTAAAGGTATTATATATTTGCATTACTTTTCATTTTTTTCTCATACATTTCCAATAATTATCTTTAGGATACATAGTATTTCAGTTTAATTCAGTGTTTAATCTCTGAATAAATCAGTATGAATATCAAACATTAGTTTTCATTATTTTTCATTACTCTTTTTTAAATTTTCATTAATTATCATTAAAATTCATAGGATTTTAATATTAAAAGTATTATTTATGCTGAAATATTTTCAACAATATTTTAGTGATTCTCTTTTCATTTTAACAATTTCATTGTCGATTTCAATCATTTTAGCGACTTTTTTCCATCAGGGTAAGTTACTAACTTACTGCTCAATCCTCCTGGAGAGTAATAAGCTGCATACCTGCATGCGATTTTTTTAGCAAATATATGAGACCTATAGTTTAATTTTGAATAGTCTATTAGGAAAGATTCTCATAGCAAAGATACTCTCGGTTTGCAATTACTTTCCAAGAAAATAAAATATTTTTGACTAGATTTGAACCTTTGACATAAAACTCTTTACGCCACGATCGCCATACCAAATTAGAAATTATTCTAATTAAATGAGAAATAACCAAGAAAATATTTTAATAAAAATAATAGATGAAAAGATGATTTAAACTTGAATAAGTTATATACCGTATAATTTGTATTAGGAGGTATCTTATTGTAATGCGTGCTGTTCCTATTATAGACACTCCAGCTGGGCGGTTCGAAACTTTGAATGTCCAAACGTCCCATGTCATTCTTGAATCTTGCTACGCCGTTCAATTGTATATTGTAGCGCTGTATAATGCCATTTGGCTTCTCCGGGGGTTTCCAAGTGATGGACATAAAACTGAAACTGCTTATATTGTCATAGCGACAAATAACGATGAGATTCTTCGGAGGACTAGCCACTGAAAAAACCATGAAATACATTTAAATATTTACCAAAACGAATAAAATAGATATATTGAGTCATCTAAAAAGTATCCGCGGTACTTTGTCACTAGATATATGACCATCAACACACATCTAGTGACAAAAAACTGCGGATACTTTTTAGATGACCCAATACATATTTTTCTTGACGCGCTGACGTACCTCCATCCAAAGTGGTGCCATTTACTTCGGCACTCCAATTACCGCATTGTTTCGTATATTCACTGCAAGCAGCTATTTTGAATTTGTACGTGGTCGCTGGATCGAGATCTACAAATGCATACACGATGAACGGCTGAGCGGGATACACTGCTTCTCTCTTCTGATCAGCGTGAGTGGCCATCAGATTGTAATAGTGCACATGTTCCTTCAAATCCGGTGGTGGCACGGTCCAACCTATTGTGATTGAATTTTCTGTCACGCCATTCACGGATACTTTCGGCACAAACACTGGATCTGTAATATATTTTTGTCCTATATAAATAAAATATCAAAAGAAGTTTTAAGTGTATGCGGATTATATATCAGAAATTGGTTTTTGCTGTAGAAATCAAACGTTGTAAAGATAATTATTTAAAATGTCTACGTCTGTTAAATAATTTTACTAGTTATTCTATGACGATCGCTTTTTCAATTTTACGAATTATAAAATTTAAGAATAAATTATTAAATTAGAATCTTTTTACATTTTTTGTTTTATATTTCTTCTTAAGAATTTATAATTCTTTTTAGCTCTCAAGTAAAATCCATTTTTAAATTGAATTAAACTTTAGGAAAGATGAATAGGAGAAAAATTTGTAATTTTTTTTTTTCAGAAATACCTTTCTCAAGCGTGGTGATCCATCGTGGATCTAATTGCATGTGTGACGTGCCCAGCGCATTGATAGCGCTGATGCCGATTTGATACGCAGTGTCGCTCTCAAATCCCTTGAGAACGTAGCTCGAATTACCACCACCAATCTGCTCGGCATAGTACTGACGTTGATCCGTGCCTTTCTTCATATGCTGGATGAAATACTTCTTAATCGGCTCGTTACCATCACTGACAGTCCAATTTAGGAATATGCTGCCTGCACCAACCGCCTTCATAAAATCTATGCTGACTTTTGGCACATCGGTGACAAATAAATGCGTCAAGGCGCTCACTATCCCGTTGTAGTCGTTCGCCTGACACACATACGTGCCATTGTCCTTTCGCGCTAAACTTTTGAATTCCAGGACTAAAACGGCGTAAGTCTCGTTTATTTGTGCAACGACAGTGAGATTCTTCAAATGCTCGCTGCTCTCCGAATTATTCCCTTTTAACCAAGTAAATTGGGATAACGGATAACCGTGTATGTGGCACGTCAAGTTGGCTGCTTCTGACACTTTCGCCCTTACATTCCCGCCGGATGTTATCTTGCCGGGTTCTGGAAAATGAGAAACGATATTTCAACGAGAGTTTAACTTCGAAATTGACTTTTATTATGTATAATAAGTCTCTTTTTTGTTATGTAATAATAACAAGAAAATATTATAAAATCCAAAATACTTATATCATAAAGGTGCGCTCACACACGCATAACAAAGACAAGATATTTAAATTAGCTCATTATTTACCTATCACTCTGATATGAATGTTTTTTTCGAGGAATTCGCCGTCGACAGTCTGCGCGGAGCATTTGTAGTCGCCCGTGTCGTTTCTGCTGGCCTTCTTTATGTCAAATCGTCCGATGTAGTCAAACTCATTGATAGTGCTGAGATTCCTGCCGTCGGTGCTCCACCAAACTTGACCCGGCACGTTAAGCTTGCACAATAACGTCGGTGTGCTGCCTGCCTCTATACCCTCGGTATCTTGTGATGATCGAATCTCCAATGACGCGGTCCGCTCGGTCTTGGATTCTGCTGCTGCTACTTCCAACTTATTTATACCTATCGTAAGAAAATACATTTTCGTATCAATTCACGTACACACAAACAATAAATTTGAAATAAACTCGAGATTATCTTAAATATAATTAAGCAAAGAAGACCAAAAAGATCAAAGTAAATTTTTGTGCCTAATAATATTATTTTTGCGTACCTAAATCTTACAATTCCCAGTTCAAGTAAACTACAATTTGATAAGCAATTTAATGTAGATACTAACGAGTATCTTAAAATAATTTATTGCAAAAGAGATATCACGCCATCAGGATTTGAATTTAAATTTTCCTACATTCCGTGACAAACGTCTTATCAATTCAAGGCATAATTCGAGTGTGTGAAGTTAGTACCCTCATGCTTTGAAATCGGAATTCTGGTAAGAGTTCTGGATTCTTTAAAACAAGAGAGAGTTCCTGATGATTTTTAGGAAGCTTCCGCTCATAAACGCCAAAAAAATAGATTTTGCAAAATGTGCTAACTTCAACATTAACACCGAATAGTTCTGAATAGCCTATTCAATGTATTTTAACGAGTACTGGAGTTTCTAATATAAAAAAAATTATTTTTTCAAAAAATTAAAAAAATTGTTTTAATTAATATCAAACTCGAATAGTTCGGAATAGCGCATCAGATTCCTTTCAACGAGATCTAGAGTACCTGATGAAATAAAAAACCTCAAATCTTTATAATTGTTTTAAAAAATCATCATAATTTTGAAAACTGGGAATCTTAATTTCATACTTAACTTTCTTTTGATGAGTAATAGAGTTCCTGATGCAACAAAATTATTTAATTATTAAAAAAAACTTTTTAATTTAAAAAAATATCAATTTTGTTTTTCGGAAATCTGGCGTTTTAAAAAGAGTTCTGATAGTCCTCCAAAGAGTTCTAACAATTATTCTTAATAATTAAAGAACTATGATCGCAAACAAAAAAGTTCTAGCGCCTTGAAGTAGAAAAATTAGAAATCTAATTGTAAAGTCCATATTCAGAACGCGCTTTTATTGATAAAAGCGCATTTTTATCTCTGAAATTCTATAATATGTGTATAACAACGAAGTACAAACAAAAGTAAGAGAGGTACAAACAGGTACAAATGATTCTCTTTCGAATGCCGTTGGTCCCATTTCGATATTTAGAAAATTGGTTAAGTTTGCTATATAGGAATTGTGCAAAAATTGAAAAGCGCTGTATCTTCAAACCCTTGAGATACAAACGAAAGTAAGAAAGATACGAGCGGATACATACAGGTACAAACGATTCTCTTTCAAATGCCATTGGTCCCATTTCGATATCTTTTAATGGCGAACTTCCACTCTTGGCGCATTTCCGAAATTTTGAAATTGCTGTATCTCCGAACCCTTTCGAGTACAAACGAAAATAAGAGAAGTATAAACGGGTACAAATAATTTTCTTTCGAATGCCGTTGGTCCCATTTCAATATTTAGAAAAAAAAATTGGCTACGTTTGTTATATAGAAATTGAAAAGCGCTATATTTCCGAATCCTTTAAGGTACAAACGAAAATAAAAGAGGTACAAACGAGTATAAACGCGTTACGGTATTAATTTTTACTTTTGATAAAGTTAGGCGCCAAGTTCACATCGGTGTTTTGGAAAAGGTTTTGAAGTCAGCTACATGAATATGAAACAAAAAGTGCGGATTTAAATTTAAAAAATTTTAGATAACTTTTACCTGACATTAAGGACATCTTAAGGCCAATCAAGGTCTTTCCTTCTTGCAACTGAGTAATAACTTTTGTTTGAAACATTTTTTCGTATCTTTTATATTTCTCGGGATATTTCAATGCGTCGATTATGAATGACTTCACCTTGTATATAGAATTTTTTTCTTTATGCTATAAATGTATGTTATATTTTGCAAATTTTGTTAATTACAGATATTACACAGATATTATACAACAATTTTAATTTTCGTTTATATATTTTAATAACAGAAATATTTTTATAATCTTAAGTTATTAATCAAGTAATATATCAAGAAACGTGTTAGTCACAAAAAATTATTAATTAAAAGTACAAAATGTTTTCCTATCAATCTACGTAAGTCATTTTTAAGAAATCTTCAACATTGATTTTTGATAAATAAACAAGGGTGATATCGCATTTTTTTTATATAAATAGCATAAATTATAATACACACTTTCAACAAAACAATAATTTCATCCTTTTAATTTATTTTCTTGCAGTAAACCTTATGCTCTTCTTGTAGTAAATAATGTAAAGAATATTTTACAATAGTATAATATCAAATTAATTTGCTTATTTTTAATATGTTTAAAACTTTTTTAAAGTGTTTTAGTTTTAATATGTTTAAAACGTTGCTGTCCCATTATGTCCCGGATTCCTCTATAATCATTCATTAAATGTAAGCCATTAATAATATAATTAGTTTGCGTTGCACATCTTTGATTAATTTTCATGCGACATTTATTAAATGCAGATGCACAAATTTGTGCACCTGCTTTTTTTATTATTTTTACATAAAGCTTATACATTTTATTGTATATATATTGCTCACTTTATCATTGTTTTCATTTTTACTTCGATTTGTATTCATCTTATACACTCCCTCAAAAAAAAACGGTACACTAAAAATTTGGGAAAGTTTTACTAAATTTCAAATGATCACAATTTGGTAAATGATGAAGTTAAAAAAATGTTTAAAAATGCAAAATAGAGTTTGAAATGTCTACTTTAAGAATATTTGAATGAGAATTGCACTGGGCTATTGTTTTCAAAATGACGAATGACCAAGTGAGAAAATACAAAATTGATAATCTAACATCCAAATATGCGATGCTACATGGCATGAATCAGATATCGTAGCTTAATGGAACATGCGTGAAGAATTTTGTCTTTAAATTATTTTTTTTATCCAGCTCGATACGATAATTTTTTGCTGAGTTATCTCAAATTTAAGGCTGTCATTAGCTCAAATTATGGTTGTAATTCTTCACAATATGCTCACATAGCAATGTATTTCCTTAGAATATCCTAATTTGAATGATCCCATTTTGATCCAAAACATTAAATCCATATAATTACTTCAAGACATTTGTAATTGTACTAAGATAAAACGTCCTTAGAATATTCTATTTTGACCCAAAAAAATTTTCATTATTATATAAATTGCATTTTTCAACTTTCGACACATATATGTCATATACATTTATGTATTTTACGAATATTATAGAGACATATCTTTGCAATTTAATTTGTTAATTTTTTAAATATATATAATATAAATATCCCACACAGACATACTGACTATACTTTGTTTTGAGAAGAATTTAATCATATATAATAATTGATCATAGTTGATCAATTGATGTAAAAATAGCTTAATCCGGATTTTAAATGTGGTACTGTATGTCTTTTTGGAACGCTGAACGCGATGCAATAATTTATTTAACCCTACAATATACGTCTTAAGAAATATAATCCAATTAATGTGAAAAAAATTACCAAATTTTAAGTTCAAAGTCAATTTTAGCAAGGTTCTAAGCGTTCCTCTCGTAAATAAGTCGTTACTCTCCTCAAATTGTAGGTCTGTTCACCCAGAACAAAATCCAGTTGAAATTTTCTCTAAATCTCCTACAGGGCCTTTAAAAGTTTCATTTAACTGGATTACAAACCATTTTTAAGAATAAAAAAAAATTTTGTTTCTATCCTTAAAAAAGTTCTAAAGTATATCGCTTTGTGGTTTTGACATCCTTAAATCAAATGCCTCAATTTGACGATAAAAAACTCTTTATTAGAAAAACTCTTTATTAGAAAATAAAATGAGTACATACAAAATAATACAAAAAAATACTAATTTAATTAATTGAAAAAAAACTGCATATTATGTAGTATATTTTTTTGTGTTATGTACTCATTTCATTTCCTAATAAAGAATTTTTTTATTGTTGAATTGAGGCATTTGATTTGAGGATGTCAAAACCACAAAGCGATGTACTTGTAAAAAAAATTTGTCTATCCTTCTATCTAAATGTTTTATAATCCAGTTAAATGCAACTTTTAAAGGCCCTGTAGGAGGTCAGGAAAATTCCAACTGGATCTTATACTGGATGAACAGACATACAATTTGAGGGGAGTAATAACCCCATTTGAACGCTTGGAGCCTTACTAAAATCGACCTTGAACTCAAAATTTAATCATTTTTTCACATTAATCGGGCTGTATTTCCTAAGGCGTATATCGTAGAGTTGAATAAGTTATTGCATCGTGTTTAGCGATCAAAAAAACATACAATGCCACATTTAAAATCCGGTTTAAGCCATTTTTGCATCAAATCAAACATGAATTAAGGAAAATCGAAACTTTGATTTAAAAACTGTTCATTAACAACCTCACGGAGCTGAAACTAGCAGCCAGACTTAGCAGCCAGAATGCGGCAGCCAGGGGCGAATAGGGTGCTGCGATCCTCGGGATTAAAAAGTAATAAAATGCATTAAAAATGCATTGAAAGCAAGTTCTATACTTAAGGTAATACAAAATAAGTTGAAATATAACAAAATTATTATTATTATATAAAATTAAATTAAACAAAAAATGTACTGAATCTTTATAAACTATTTAACAGCCAGACCGTACGCAAACTCGTAGAGATTTGAAAAAAATCATATATACTCTCCAAGACGAGTACGAAACGATGAGACCATTTGCCCGGGGATGCCATTCGTTGTTAATTAAAAAAAATTAAATAACATTTATAAACAATTTAGCAGCTAGACTAGTATGCAAACTCGTGGAAATTTGAAAAAAATCACAAAGCCTCTCCAAATCAAATATAAAACGGTGACGTATCGATATACCCGGGGACAAATATTATTTAATTTTTATATTAACAATTAGTGCCGTCCCCGGGCAAATCGTCGTCTCATCGTTTCGTACTCGTCTTGGAGAGTACGTGTGATTTTTTTCAAGTCTCTACAAGTATGCGTACGATCCGGCTAAATTGTTTATAAAGGTTTAGTACATT